GACTAAAACTAGACTAAATGTCATCAGTTTTCGTCGACTAAAACTAGACTAAAATGCTCAGACTTTTAGTCAACTAAAACTTGACTAGACTAAAAAGAGTATGAACGTGACAAAAACTAATAAAAACTAAAATGACAGTTTCACACAAAGACTAGACTAAAACTAAAATTAAAACAGGCCGCCAAAAACCACTAATGGTTGAGGTGTGCTGTTCAGTGATAAAACAGGCAGCTTGCATTGAAGAAGCCATATAGACACTTAGGGGTGGGCTCTTTTGATTCGGATCAATAAGGACCACCAACCTAAAACACCCTTACTTGATTGTCTTGTTCCGCTGTTTAACTAAATGTTGTACAGCATAACATACTGTACATAGGTAACAGAGTAATACAGTGATACTGTCTCCTAAAATGACCACAACGTAGTCAACGCAGGTGTTTTTGGACCTGCTGACTCCTAGCTGCTGTTAAATCTCTGATAGATCTGCGAATCTCAGGAGGGCTGATGGTGAGCAGTATGAGTTCCCACCAATCAGAGTCCATGCTGACACTGGCCAGAAGTGTGTGTTTGAACTACTGCCTAATCAAAGCAATCTGCCTCCATTCCCTTTGCTTAGCAGAAACCATGCTCTGTAAGGAGCCAGCGTCAATACAGATGGCACAAGAATGCTATAGTGAATGTATTTATGCTCTAAGCAATGCAGATGTACAGAGCCAGTACAACAAGTGTGCATGTGCATCTGGATGACTTCCAGTTTCACCATTATGTAATAATACTTTATTTCTTGATAAAATCTGACAGATCATTTATTTCTTGTATTAAAGGGGCAGTTCACCAAAAAAATAAAAAAATCTGTTAATATCAATTATTGACACTTATGTTTTTCCAAACCCATAAGTCTTTGGCAAATCTGCGAAACACAAAGAAATATATTATTAATGAAACCTGAGAGGTTTCTACTTTCCATTGGAAGTCAGTGTAATCAAAGCTTAAAAGCTCCAAAAAGGTTATAAATGTTATAAAGTTTTTTTGATGGATGGATGGATGCACTTTATTTTTGATTCAATATCTCTCCACCATTCACTGCCATTATAAAGCTTGGAACAGCCAGGACATTTTTTAATGGAACTCCGTTTGTATTTGTCTGAAAGAAGAAAGTAATATACACCTAGGATGGCTTGAGGGTGAGTAAATCATGGGGTAAATTTCATTTTTAGGTGAACTATCCCTTTAAGTTTGTTATTGTTCCTGGTGTGATCGGGCCTTGAATTACAAAATTTTTATTTTGGGGTGAACTATCCCTTTAAGAGTTATGAAACTTTTGATTACAGTGGTGAGTTGGACAGGGTCCATCCACGCTGGCAGGTTTACTGTTGGATCCCACATGTGTTCTGCATGATAAATGTGATTGGGAAAAAATCTGCAGGCCATACTTACATGTCTGACACTCTCCTGTAGTTGTCTGGACATGTAAATGAAAAGCAACGGAAGCCTCCTTGGATGTTGAAACAAGTCTGGGAAGCAGAGCAATTGTGCGATCCAATGGCACATTCGTCAATATCTGAAAACGAAAGGGAAGACAACAGCTAAATTGATGTCATAAATCCATTCGATCAAAAACTGAGACTTCTGAGACTGCTTAAACCTTTCATGTCATTATTCCTTTCCTAAGTATTCTTTTTAGTCCTTACAACTTATATAAAAAAGAGTAAATGGAAATTCAATGTTGAATCAAAAGTAAACTATTAGACTTTTTGTAAGGCTTTATTACATAAATAAATATCTAAATGGCAGCGCATGTTACATTTTACCTGGCCCCAATCAATGCTAGCAGGGTTGTCAGGAGGGACGACTGATGTCTGCGGTGACTAACCACCAGTCTTCATTCTGGTAGGAGTCCATTTTGGCCCCTCCAGAAGTAATTAATTATGCATCTCATTTTACAAAAGCAAAGTCCTCGTTACAGCTCGCCGGCTCCAATCCGCAGACTAATTCATTTGGTGCAGGCTAGCGCTAACCTCCGGGAGCATGTACAGGCTCTTCTTCACCTCTCATTGACTTTCCTATGTTGAGAGCCTGAGGGAGTTTTGTCAATTTTGTGATCTTTCAGTGAGCGATGGAGGACACCGAGCGGCGCTGTGTTGAACCTGAGGTTGGCTCTTCACAACACAATGTGCCAATTAGAGAAATTAAGGCTCGGAATTGAGTTTGTAGCATTTGGCTTTAGAAAGGTGTTGGCTAGAATTTGAACCACAGTTTAAAGGAACTGTTCACCCAAAAATTCTGTTATCTTCATCCTTGTGTCATTCCAAATCAATATGCATTTCTTTCTTGTGCATATATTATATTATATTTTATTTTATTGTATATTATATTATACAGTTCTTAGTCCGGTCTTGTCTCATACATGCATTTCTACATTTGAATGGACTGTTCTGTGTTAGATTTTCTTTGTTGTTTTGAATTTGTTTGCTGTTTTTGTTTTATGTTCTGAATTGCTTGCGTATAGATGCTTGCCTCAACTACCCTTTTTGTACCCAGCATAACATTACAATTATATTATCCAAACTATGCATGATTTTGTACCCAGCATAACATTACAATTATATTTTCAAAACTATGCATGATTATATGGTTAACTGTATTTTATTATTAATATTTAGTATTGTATAATTTCTCCGATCACAAATGCAGACATGGTTTTATGTTTACGTGGCGCGACCCAACGCAACTCATAAAAAGACAGTACAAGTCATTATAATCCATAATAATGTCCCCACTGGATGCAACGAATGCCTCGTTTGTTATGGGTTTTCATGTTTTTGAATCATTGCTCCAGCCTGACAGGGCATCATCACAATGTGGTAAGGGGTGTAACATTTCCGTCACACGCTTGAGGTATTCGGCCAATCACAAGGCACTGGATAGCGGGCCAATCACAGCACACCTCGCTTTTTCAGACCGATGAGCTTTGTAAAAATCGACGCGTTTCAGAAAGGCGGGGCATAGAGGAGAAACAATAATGTACAGTATGTGGAAAATAATGTGTTTTTTGAACCTTAAACCGCATAAACACATTTCATTACACCAAATAATGTTATTTTTAGCAGCATCATATGACCCCTTTAAATACACACACTTATATGGGTCAAAATGCCTGTCTTTGAAGTATCCTCGTAAACACCGTAATTTAGGTCTTAAGTAAAAGAAAGAAAACACACGTGTAACAGTATATTGGATCTGGGCAGCTCTTAAAGTGACAGCAGTCTAATATTCCTGCTGTCTGTCATTCATGTTAATCAAACAACAAAAGAGAGAAAAGCGAAAAACAAGAGAAAATCTCTCACTGCTCTTGACTAAATCACTTTTATAACTTTAATAAGAATAAATATATATTTAATTTACACAGTGAAGAATATGCAGTGTTTTTTTGATTGACACTGGTGACAATAATTATGAAATTTCTATGGTATCAAAAATTTTGTTATCATAAAGAGCTTATTTAAAGCAAAAATAACTATATTGTGATATATATCGTTACCGTGAAATAAAATTACTCATATCATGATATAAGATTTTGGTCATATCGCCCACCCCTACATACAGTTTGTAACGATTTGAGGATGAGTAAATGATGACAGAATTTTAATTTTGGGAAGACTATCCTGTTTAATAGGATAATCAGAGCATAAATCCTAAACATTCAGTGTTACGCTATGTGCTTTTAATTATACAGAAGATGAAGCAAAGACTTATAAGTAATAAGATAAAGTAATATAGCACTTTAGTGTTACCTTGACAGGTGCGTCCATTAGGTGACATAGAGTAACCATGGGGAGGACAGGCACATGTGTAGCTACCTGGGACATTCACACACTGGAATGCACAGAGGTTTCCAATGCTCTGTGAGCACTCGTCGATATCTAGAGAACAAATAAGAGCATTTCATCTTTATCACTGAGAAAACTAGCCATTTATAAAGAACATCACAACAAACCACTGTGAGATGGGTTTGGCCATTAACCAGAAAGATTTGTGTTTAAGAAACTGTGCCAACAACACACTAATTGCTACACTTTGCTGAAAAAAATCCATCCTTATTAAAATATTCAGGACATTATTGATCTCATATCACCATCAGAGGATCCCCATCATCTCTTTAATCAACATACAGTATAATGGGAATGTGTCCTTGTACTTTAATCCTTAAATGGTACGAATGGATTGATGAAAACTATTTTTTTAAGGACATTGATAACACTTCACCTTCACATGTGTGCCCGTCCTCTTTCAGGTAGTAGCCCATTCGGCAATAACACTGGTAGGAGCCATAAATGTTTGCACACTCCTGACTGCAGGGATTGTTGTCACATTCATTAATATCTATGAGAGAACACAGAAAACATCAAGTTTCTGGATTAAAAACTGTTTGTTTGTACAAATTTGCATGAATCATTACAGTCTTGTGCACACTGGCAGGGTGTCATAACAGCGCAAATATAAAATGGGGTCCAAAAGTCTGATACCACTCTGAAAATTTGGGATTGAAAATCTAATTAAAACCTGGGAAAATGGTTAGGCAGATGTAAATAAAATTTAAAAATAATGAAAAAGAGGAAATATTTATAATTTTGCACTATTTATAGATGACTAATGGATCATTCTCAGATCATAATGGAGAACATGGACAGCTGTTTTTTATATTCAGCTGTCATGTTCATGAAAAAAAATATTGTTTTAAACTGCTGACTCTGCAAAATGGCACATGGAGTATATTTTTATTTTACTACTGTTGTCCCTCTGAAACCACACTAAAAGTCACCTCATGAAAAGTTCCT